ATCAGTACCACCCACACATGACCATTTTGAGTGAGATAGAACTAGGAATCAGTACCACCCACACATGACCATTTTGAGTGAGATAGAACTAGGAATCAGTACCACCCACACATGACCATTTTGAGTGAGATAGAACTAGGAATCAGTACCACCCACACATGACCATTTTGAGTGAGATAGAACTAGGAATCAGTACCACCCACACATGACCATTTTGAGTGAGATAGAACTAGGAATCAGTACCACCCACACATGACCATTTTGAGTGAGATAGAACTAGGAATCAGTACCACCCACACATGACCATTTTGAGTGAGATAGAACTAGGAATCAGTACCACCCACACATGACCATTTTGAGTGAGATAGAACTAGGAATCAGTACCACCCACACATGACCATTTTGAGTGAGATAGAACTAGGAATCAGTACCACCCACACATGACCATTTTGAGTGAGATAGAACTAGGAATCAGTACCAGTCACACATGACCATTTTGAGTGAGATAGAACTAGGAATCAGTACCAGTCACACATGACCATTTTGAGTGAGATAGAACTAGGAATCAGTACCAGTCACACATGACCATTTTGAGTGAGATAGAACTAGGAATCAGTACCAGTCACACATGACCATTTTGAGTGAGATAGAACTAGGAATCAGTACCAGTCACACATGACCATTTTGAGTGAGATAGAACTAGGAATCAGTACCAGTCACACATGACCATTTTGAGTGAGATAGAACTAGGAATCAGTACCAGTCACACATGACCATTTTGAGTGAGATAGAACTAGGAATCAGTACCAGTCACACATGACCATTTTGAGTGAGATAGAACTAGGAATCAGTACCAGTCACACATGACCATTTTGAGTGAGATAGAACTAGGAATCAGTACCAGTCACACATGACCATTTTGAGTGAGATAGAACTAGGAATCAGTACCAGTCACACATGACCATTTTGAGTGAGATAGAACTAGGAATCAGTACCAGTCACACATGACCATTTTGAGTGAGATAGAACTAGGAATCAGTACCAGTCACACATGACCATTTTGAGTGAGATAGAACTAGGAATCAGTACCAGTCACACATGACCATTTTGAGTGAGATAGAACTAGGAATCAGTACCAGTCACACATGACCATTTTGAGTGAGATAGAACTAGGAATCAGTACCAGTCACACATGACCATTTTGAGTGAGATAGAACTAGGAATCAGTACCAGTCACACATGACCATTTTGAGTGAGATAGAACTAGGAATCAGTACCAGTCACACATGACCATTTTGAGTGAGATAGAACTAGGAATCAGTACCAGTCACACATGACCATTTTGAGTGAGATAGAACTAGGAATCAGTACCAGTCACACATGACCATTTTGAGTGAGATAGAACTAGGAATCAGTACCAGTCACACATGACCATTTTGAGTGAGATAGAACTAGGAATCAGTACCAGTCACACATGACCATTTTGAGTGAGATAGAACTAGGAATCAGTACCAGTCACACATGACCATTTTGAGTGAGATAGAACTAGGAATCAGTACCAGTCACACATGACCATTTTGAGTGAGATAGAACTAGGAATCAGTACCAGTCACACATGACCATTTTGAGTGAGATAGAACTAGGAATCAGTACCAGTCACACATGACCATTTTGAGTGAGATAGAACTAGGAATCAGTACCAGTCACACATGACCATTTTGAGTGAGATAGAACTAGGAATCAGTACCAGTCACACATGACCATTTTGAGTGAGATAGAACTAGGAATCAGTACCAGTCACACATGACCATTTTGAGTGAGATAGAACTAGGAATCAGTACCAGTCACACATGACCATTTTGAGTGAGATAGAACTAGGAATCAGTACCAGTCACACATGACCATTTTGAGTGAGATAGAACTAGGAATCAGTACCAGTCACACATGACCATTTTGAGTGAGATAGAACTAGGAATCAGTACCAGTCACACATGACCATTTTGAGTGAGATAGAACTAGGAATCAGTACCAGTCACACATGACCATTTTGAGTGAGATAGAACTAGGAATCAGTACCAGTCACACATGACCATTTTGAGTGAGATAGAACTAGGAATCAGTACCAGTCACACATGACCATTTTGAGTGAGATAGAACTAGGAATCAGTACCAGTCACACATGACCATTTTGAGTGAGATAGAACTAGGAATCAGTACCAGTCACACATGACCATTTTGAGTGAGATAGAACTAGGAATCAGTACCAGTCACACATGACCATTTTGAGTGAGATAGAACTAGGAATCAGTACCAGTCACACATGACCATTTTGAGTGAGATAGAACTAGGAATCAGTACCAGTCACACATGACCATTTTGAGTGAGATAGAACTAGGAATCAGTACCAGTCACACATGACCATTTTGAGTGAGATAGAACTAGGAATCAGTACCAGTCACACATGACCATTTTGAGTGAGATAGAACTAGGAATCAGTACCAGTCACACATGACCATTTTGAGTGAGATAGAACTAGGAATCAGTACCAGTCACACATGACCATTTTGAGTGAGATAGAACTAGGAATCAGTACCAGTCACACATGACCATTTTGAGTGAGATAGAACTAGGAATCAGTACCAGTCACACATGACCATTTTGAGTGAGATAGAACTAGGAATCAGTACCAGTCACACATGACCATTTTGAGTGAGATAGAACTAGGAATCAGTACCAGTCACACATGACCATTTTGAGTGAGATAGAACTAGGAATCAGTACCAGTCACACATGACCATTTTGAGTGAGATAGAACTAGGAATCAGTACCAGTCACACATGACCATTTTGAGTGAGATAGAACTAGGAATCAGTACCAGTCACACATGACCATTTTGAGTGAGATAGAACTAGGAATCAGTACCAGTCACACATGACCATTTTGAGTGAGATAGAACTAGGAATCAGTACCAGTCACACATGACCATTTTGAGTGAGATAGAACTAGGAATCAGTACCAGTCACACATGACCATTTTGAGTGAGATAGAACTAGGAATCAGTACCAGTCACACATGACCATTTTGAGTGAGATAGAACTAGGAATCAGTACCAGTCACACATGACCATTTTGAGTGAGATAGAACTAGGAATCAGTACCAGTCACACATGACCATTTTGAGTGAGATAGAACTAGGAATCAGTACCAGTCACACATGACCATTTTGAGTGAGATAGAACTAGGAATCAGTACCAGTCACACATGACCATTTTGAGTGAGATAGAACTAGGAATCAGTACCAGTCACACATGACCATTTTGAGTGAGATAGAACTAGGAATCAGTACCAGTCACACATGACCATTTTGAGTGAGATAGAACTAGGAATCAGTACCAGTCACACATGACCATTTTGAGTGAGATAGAACTAGGAATCAGTACCAGTCACACATGACCATTTTGAGTGAGATAGAACTAGGAATCAGTACCAGTCACACATGACCATTTTGAGTGAGATAGAACTAGGAATCAGTACCACCCACACTTGACCATATTGAGTGAGATAGAACAAGGAATCAGTACCACCCACACATAACCATTTTGAGTAAGATAGAACTAGGAATCAGTACCACCCACACATATTGATCTACGTTGATCAGCGGCCTCCACAGAGGGTTGATCCAGTATACAGTCACACTTGGCAGGCTGCCAGACTGCGATCAATAATCTTGGGAGAGCTCCCATCAGGCTAATGAATGGGATGTGTGGTTCAAAATGGCCCTCTGGAAGCTAGGACGAGGCAAGCCTTTAGCTAACTTATAGAGTGTTGCTGATGCATTAGCACAGAGATATTTTCAGAGCTCCTTGTGAGGAATTGGCTGATTATTGGCACGCTGTTTATAAGAAAATGTGATTATCTGGCAGTCCCTTCTTCGTACATATTAGAGTCTTCACTCTCTGACTTTACAACTGCAGTAATTTCCCCTGCTTTCTTTTCTCATTGATTCTGAGATCTAGAGATGTAGGCTATACATATGCATACAATGTACAGTGTTTTGAATTAGTGCTTTATCCTACCTGTGCATGGCTGCATCTAACTCTACCTTGATACAGATAAGCATATTTAAGAGGGTGAAGAAATACAGATAAGCACATTTAAGAGTTTTAATTAATACAGATAAGCACATTTAAGAGGGTAAATAAATACAGATAAGCACATTAAAGAGGGTAAATTAGGACAGATAAGCAAATTTAAGAGGGTAAGTAAATACAGATAAGCACATTTAAGAGGGTAAATTAATACAGATAATCACATATAAGAGGGTAAATTAGTACATATAATCACATTTAAAAGGGTAAATTAGTACAGATAACACATTTAAGAGGGTAAATTAATACAGCTAAACACATTTAAGAGGGTAAATTAATACAGATAAGCACCTTTAAGAGGGTGAATTAATACAGATAAGCACCTTTAAGAGGGTATACATGTCAGATAAGCACATTTGAGAGGGTAAATTAATATAGATAATCACATTTAAGAGGGTAAATTAATACAGATAAGCACATTTAAGAGGGTAAATTAGTACAGATAAGCACATTTAAGAGGGTAAATTAGAACAGACAAGCACCTTTAAGAGGGTAAATTAGTTCAGATAAGCACCTTTAATAGGGTAAATTAATACAGATACGCACATTTAAGAGGGTAAATTAGTACAGATAAGCACATTAAAGAGGGTAAATTAAAACAGACAAGCACATTTAAGAGGGTAAATTAGTACAGATAAGCACCTTTAAGAGGGTAAATTAGTACAGATAATCACATATAAGAGGGTAAATTAATACAGATCAGCACCTTTAAGAGGGTAAATTAGAACAGACAAGCACCTTTAAGAGGGTAAATTAATACAGATAAGCACCTTTAAGAGGGTAAATTAATACAGATAAGCACATTTAAGAGGGTAAACTAATATAAATATATATGGTGATATTAATGTTACAGAGACACAGTATGGGGTGTGCTGACAGGACAAGGTACAGACAACATTACAGGACTGGTGATGCACGAGGTTAAAGAGATCGAAACTTGGATCCTACGACTGCTTAGTGCACCTGTACCGGTACCAGGCAAGACACGGGTAGAGGTAAGCATCTTATTCTACTACGTGTACATCTACTACGTGTACATCTACTACGTGTACATCTACTACGTGTACATCTACTACGTGTGTACATCTACTACGTGTGTACATCTACTACGTGTGTACATCTACTACGTGTACATCTACTACGTGTACATCTACTACGTGTACATCTACTACGTGTACATCTACTACGTGTACATCTACTACGTGTACATCTACTACGTGTACATCTACTACGTGTACATCTACTACGTGTACATCTACTACGTGTACATCTACTACGTGTACATCTACTACGTGTACATCTACTACGTGTACATCTACTACGTGTACATCTACTACGTGTACATCTACTACGTGTGCATCTACTACGTGTACATCTACTACGTGTACATCTACTACGTGTACATCTACTACGTGTACATCTACTACGTGTACATCTACTACGTGTACATCTACTACGTGTACATCTACTACGTGTACATCTACTACGTGTACATCTACTACGTGTACATCTACTACGTGTACATCTACTACGTGTACATCTACTACGTGTACATCTACTACGTGTACATCTACTACGTGTACATCTACTACGTGTACATCTACTACGTGTACATCTACTACGTGTACATCTACTACGTGTACATCTACTACGTGTACATCTACTACGTGTACATCTACTACGTGTACATCTACTACGTGTACATCTACTACGTGTACATCTACTACGTGTACATCTACTACGTGTACATCTACTACGTGTACATCTACTACGTGTACATCTACTACGTGTACATCTACTACGTGTACATCTACTACGTGTACATCTACTACGTGTACATCTACTACGTGTACATCTACTACGTGTACATCTACTACGTGTACATCTACTACGTGTACATCTACTACGTGTACATCTACTACGTGTACATCTACTACGTGTACATCTACTACGTGTACATCTACTACGTGTACATCTACTACGTGTACATCTACTACGTGTACATCTACTACGTGTACATCTACTACGTGTACATCTACTACGTGTACATCTACTACGTGTACATCTACTACGTGTACATCTACTACGTGTACATCTACTACGTGTACATCTACTACGTGTACATCTACTACGTGTACATCTACTACGTGTACATCTACTACGTGTACATCTACTACGTGTACATCTACTACGTGTACATCTACTACGTGTACATCTACTACGTGTACATCTACTACGTGTACATCTACTACGTGTACATCTACTACGTGTACATCTACTACGTGTACATCTACTACGTGTACATCTACTACGTGTACATCTACTACGTGTACATCTACTACGTGTACATCTACTACGTGTACATCTACTACGTGTACATCTACTACGTGTACATCTACTACGTGTACATCTACTACGTGTACATCTACTACGTGTACATCTACTACGTGTACATCTACTACGTGTACATCTACTACGTGTACATCTACTACGTGTACATCTACTACGTGTACATCTACTATGTGTACATCTACTACGTGTACATTTACTACGTGTACATCTACTACTGTATCTATCACCAAACCGTGTTCAACCTAATGTCCATGAGTATGCTACAAAAGTGACTCATTTGTCTTTACTTTTCCGAAAAATTATGAGTTCATAAAAAATAATATATTTCCAAGGACTCTTACTTACTCCTAAAGTGAGTGCAGGAAGGTAGGCTTACTAACTACCTCCTAAAGTGATGGAGAGTGCAGGAAGGTAGGCTTACTAACTACCTCCTAAAGTGATGGAGAGTTGAGGAAGGTATGCTTACTAACTACCTCCTAAAGTGATGGAGAGTTGAGGAAGGTAGGCTTACTAACTACCTCCTAAAGTGATGGAGAGTTGAGGAAGGTAGGCTTACTAACTACCTCCTAAAGTGATGGAGAGTTGAGGAAGGTAGGCTTACTAACTACCTCCTAAAGTGATGGAGAGTTGAGGAAGGTAGGCTTACTAACTACCTCCTAAAGTGATGGAGAGTTGAGGAAGGTAGGCTTACTAACTACCTCCTAAAGTGATGGAGAGTTGAGGAAGGTAGGCTTACTAACTACCTCCTAAAGTGATGGAGAGTTGAGGAAGGTAGGCTTACTAACTACCTCCTAAAGTGATGGAGAGTTGAGGAAGGTAGGCTTACTAACTACCTCCTAAAGTGATGGAGAGTTGAGGAAGGTAGGCTTACTAACTACCTCCTAAAGTGATGGAGAGTTGAGGAAGGTAGGCTTACTAACTACCTCCTAAAGTGATGGAGAGTTGAGGAAGGTATGCTTACTAACTACCTCCTAAAGTGATGGAGAGTTGAGGAAGGTAGGCTTACTAACTACCTCCTAAAGTGATGGAGAGTTGAGGAAGGTATGCTTACTAACTACCTCCTAAAGTGATGGAGAGTTGAGGAAGGTAGGCTTACTAACTACCTCCTAAAGTGATGGAGAGTTGAGGAAGGTATGCTTACTAACTACCTCCTAAAGTGATGGAGAGTTGAGGTTGGTATGCTTACTAACTACCTCCTAAAGTGATGGAGAGTTGAGGAAGGTAGGCTTACTAACTACCTCCTAAAGAGATGGAGAGTGTTGGAAGGTAGGCTTACTAACTACCTCCTAAAGTGATGGAAAGTGCAGGAAGGTGCAGGCTTCATTTAACCTAGAACTTTAACCCTCTCTTCAGTTAAGGAGGAAAAGAGGGAGGATAACTTAACACAAATGGGATTCTTTACCAACTCCATGGTTGATGAAGAGAAGACAAAGACTAGCCTAGGGTTTTGATAAACTCCTCAGTTGATGAAGAGAAGACAAAAACTAGCCTAGGGTTCTAATAAACTCCTCAGTTGATGAAGAGAAGACAAAGACTAGCCTAGGATTCTGATAAACTCCTCAGTTGACAAAGAGAAGACAAAGACTAGCCTAGGGTTCTGATAAACTCCTCAGTTGATAAAGAGAAGACAAAGAGTAGTAGCGGAAAGATATAGTAACAACCTTTATATATCTAGAAGTGAAACCCACTCCTTACATGATAAAGAGAAGACAAAGGCTGATTATAACCTTGGGTGTTGACCCCCTCCTAGGGTGTTAGATGAAGAGATTATACCTTAGGGCCAAACCCAACTCCTCATATGATGAGTGTCACAGTCTAAGGTTCTAGTTAACTCCTCAGTTGTCTAGGAAGAGGAACCATCACCTAAGGAGGAGAAGAGGATCACTAGCCTCAGTTGTGATAGAGTGGTGTCTAGGAAGAGGAACCATCACCTAAGGAGCAGAAGACAACGGCTAGCCTCAGTTGTGATAGAGTGGTGTCTAGGAATAGGAACCATCACCTAAGGAGCAGAAGAGGACCACTAGTCTCAGTTGTGATAGAGTGGTGTCTAGGAAGAGGAACTATCACCTAAGGAGGAGAAGAGAACCACTAGCCTCAGTTGTGATAGAGTGGCGTCTAGGAAGAGGAACCATCACCTAAGGAGCAGAAGACAACGGCTAGCCTCAGTTGTGATAGAGTGGTGTCTAGGAAGGGGAACCATCACCTAAGGAGCAGAAGAGGACCACTAGTCTCAGTTGTGATAGAGTGGTGTCTAGGAAGAGCAACCATCACCTAAGGAGCAGAAGAGGACTACTAGCCTCAGTCGTGATAGAGTGGTGTCTAGGAAGAGGAACCATCACCTAAGGAGGAGAAGAGAACCACTAGTCTCAGTTGTGATAGAGTGGTGTCTAGGAAGAGGAATCATCACCTAAGGAGCAGAAGAGGACCACTAGCCTCCGTTGTGATAGAGTGGTGTCTAGGAAGAGGAACCATCACCTAAGGAGCAGAAGAGGACCACTAGCCTCGGTTGTGATAGAGTGGTGTCTAGGAAGAGGAACCATCGCCTAAGGAGGAGAAGAGGATCCCTAGCCTCAGTTGTGATAGAGTGGTGTCTAGGAATAGGAACCATCACCTAAGGAGCAGAAGAGGACCACTAGTCTCAGTTGTGATAGAGTGGTGTCTAGGAAGAGGAATCATCACCTAAGGAGCAGAAGAGGACCACTAGCCTCGGTTGTGATAGAGTGGTGTCTAGGAAGAGGAACCATCACCTAAGGAGCAGAAGAGGACTCCTAGCCTCAGTTGTGATAGAGTGGTGTCTAGGAAGGGGAACCATCACCTAAGGAGCAGAAGAGGACCACTAGCCTCCGTTGTGATAGAGTGGTGTCTAGGAAGAGGAACCATCACCTAAGGAGCAGAAGACAACGGCTAGCCTCAGTTGTGATAGAGTGGTGTCTAGGAAGAGGAACTATCACCTAAGGAGGAGAAGAGAACCACTAGCCCCAGTTGTGATAGAGTGGCGTCTAGGAAGAGGAACCATCACCTAAGGAGCAGAAGAGGACTCCTAGCCTCAGTTGTGATAGAGTGGTGTCTAGGAAGGGGAACCATCACCTAAGGAGCAGAAGAGGACCACTAGCCTCAGTTGTGATAGAGTGGTGTCTAGGAAGAGGAACTATCACCTAAGGAGGAGAAGAGAACCACTAGCCTCAGTTGTGATAGAGTGGCGTCTAGGAAGAGGAACCATCACCTAAGGAGGAGAAGAGGACCACTAGCCTCAGTTGTGATAGAGTGGTGTCTAGGAATAGGAACCATCACCTAAGGAGCAGAAGAGGATCACTAGCCTCAGTTGTGATAGAGTGGTGGCTAGGAAGAGGAACCATCACCTAAGGAGCAGAAGACAACGGCTAGCCTCAGTTGTGATAGAGTGGTGTCTAGGAATAGGAACCATCACCTAAGGAGCAGAAGAGGATCACTAGCCTCAGTTGTGATAGAGTGGTGGCTAGGAAGAGGAACCATCACCTAAGGAGCAGAAGAGGACCACTAGCCTCGGCTGATGAAGAGCAGGAGATGGAGCTAACCTACAGGTCCAACACAGAGTTACTGGATTTCCTTAAGCACCAGAGAATCCTGGTTGGATCTATTGTGTGGTGTCCCCAGCTAATCAGTGATCTAATGTGTGGTGTCTCCAGCTTATCAGTGATCTATTGTGTGATGTCCCTAGCTAATCAGTGATCTATGATGTCATTACCTTTAACGAGCTCCAGATCTAGAGTACTCTTATAAGGTATCTGCACCAGAACAAGGATTTTATTGGTGAATTAATATATTGATGTCATTTTAATGATGGTGGTATCGTTACCAAATATTGATGAAAATATCTCTTTCAGATTTGTTTATGTTGACAAAATACTTAAGTGTTTATACCCTAAGCCGTAGATAAGTCGACTGAGTAAACAGTGAACCAGCTGTTACTTAGTGTTGTAGTTCTCAGGTTTGCATGGTTGGTATATAGGTGTATAGAAATATAAAACAGATAAATGGTGTTATTTATAGGAGAAGCCAGCCATGTCACCAACATGAACTCGCTAACCTTTAAAACATTGTCTAAATGGAGATTTTTCCAATAAGACTGAACAAACACTATACTTTCTTGTAACGTTGGAGAAAATGGAGTAAGTATGCAGACAATTTAAAAAAATTCTATTAAGTTACCCTTACTCTTCACATAAAGTGTACTAACTTAGGGGCCGCATCAAATGAACAGCACAAACACGAGAGTTAAACTTAGGGGTAGCATCAAATGAACAGCACAAACACAAGAGTCAAACGTAGGGGTAGCATCAAATGAACAGCACAAACACGAGAGTAAAACTTAGGGGTAGCATCAAATGAACAGCACAAACACAAGAGTCAAACGTAGGGGTAGCATCAAATGAACAGCACAAACACAAGAGTCAAACGTAGGGGTAGCATCAAATGAACAGCACAAACACAAGAGTCAAAATTAGGGGTAGCATCAAATGAACAGCACAAACACAAGAGTCAAAATTAGGGGTAGCATCAAATGAACAGCACAAACACAAGAGTCAAAATTAGGGGTAGCATCAAATGAACAGCACAAACACGAGAGTTAAACTTAGGGGCCACATCAAATCAACAGCACAAACACGAGAGTTAAACTTAGGGGTAGCATCAAATGAACAGCACAAACACGAGAGTCAAACTTAGGAGTAGCATCAAATGAACAGCACAAACACGAGAGTCAAACTTAGGGGTAGCATCAAATGAACAGCACAAACACGAGAGTTAAACTTAGGAACTCCTCTGCAGGATTATAACTAATGCAGTGACACCTTAATTAACAGTGCTTGTTTGGTAGGCAAAAGAAATAGGAATGTATTAAACGTCTCCATTAGCCCGGTTTCTGTCCTCCTCATAATGCTCCTACTGGGTTAGATCAGGAGTAATCGAGAAAAGCACTAATTTCATTACAGACTAGAGCTTAATTCACATTACCTTAATACTTGTAAGTGGTGCTAGGGACAACATGACGTCATTGACAGCTCTATGTCTTAATTACAGGACATAAGGACCGAGACACGTGTTACTTTTACCTGTGTACGTCAGGTACACTGTCTGTACAATGTAGCCGATTGCTGAAACATTAGTTCATGTTATATAATTAATTATCTAAAACCAGGTGCCACCAGAGTAAAATTACAATATTTAGATTGACTATAAAATAAAGCTGTTAACTTCATTTTATTACTTTGGTTTTAATGAATCATTGTATGAAGTACTAGAGCCTTTTTAAATATTTTCTTGGTAACCAGTGAGGCGACTTATCAGCCAATGTTTCTTATAACGTTACCACTGTGACTAAATTAGGTGCAATTTTGGCCCAGCATAAATCGTCTATAATAAACAAAACCTTTGTGGATGTGGAAATTGAAATATCATCTTGACATTCCACAAATTAAATAAAAAATGACATCATATATATTCTTAAAATAGGTTGAGATAGAAATAAATTGAAAGCATGATATCATATAATGTCACAGAGAGTGATTATTTTGAGGTTAGACAGCAGGATACAGACATGTAAGGTTTCCTGAGAGGTTTCTGGTCTTTAACACAGCTGGATCCAGACATGAAGGGTTTCATAGTTTTCTGCGTGGTCTTAAAAGTAAAACTGCAGACACTGACACCTGCATTAGATGTGGACATTTCAACCATCTTGCATCGCTGATGTATCTATGTTAATTCTGAGATGATAGATCTCTACTTAAACAATCTTAGTATCCATATTAGAAAACATTGTATATATCCTACTGATCATGAACTGTTTGATTGAAGCTTGTTAGATTGTACAAGAAATTCAGATGGTACTGTCGGTTCTTATAGATTGTACTTAACTCTTTCATCCCTACATACTCAAACTGGACTTGCCCAGTCTTTATCCCTACATACTCAAACTGGACTTGCCCAGTCTTTGATTTGGTACGGGGTGGATGGGTCACCAGGGCAAAAAGCAGTAACAGCCTTAATTTCTCAGTAAAACAATGAAGTCTTGAAGTCAGGTAGAAACAAGGTGGTTTTCAGGGCCCTTTGATTGATGGTTAAATATAATGTTGATTGTGTTGATGCATTAGAATGTTTTTACTTCAACTTTGTGACACTATTATGCTCGCGAGTAGATAAGCCGTCCATTTCTGCTGAACTTTTATGATTTAAATCAGGTTAGGATGAACAAAGCACTGTTGTTTTTCTGTTGCTGTTTTTTAGCTCCTGACTAAGTAGGATTTTCTTGTGGGCTATAAATCTGTAAACTCCACTTAAAACCATCTAAAACCTAAGTGCATGATAGTTATTTAAAAACTTTTTAAAAGGGGTTGAGTAAATATACTAGAAAGCTTACGAGTATTTGTAAAAGTTATTAGTGTGAATGACCGAGACTTGTCAAGAGTCGTGGTTTCTTACCTGAATGACACTTCAGGTAACATTGTTAAAGGTGATAGACTCTCGCCGTTATTACAACTTTATCAGAAGTTTTCATGATCTGGCATTTGGGATGATCGCCATTAGACAAAAAGCTATCAACTTTCGTCTTTTTTTGGACTGTTTACAAAACAATTAAATTTAACTTATTTTGGCTTGATGTTCCACACTTCACATACATTGTACACAAGTATAATGGTTCAGGATCTCCATACGACTGCTAAAAACTGTGATTTATATGCATACTTGTCAACTTTTTGAATTTTCCATGGAGGAGATTACGCATGCTCAGAATTAAAAATATGAATAAAATGTGTGTATGTAAATCCTAGGGAAAACTCACACTTTTAAATTGTATTTTTTGAGCTGTTTTTTCAGATGAAATCATTAGATGTTAGGATATAGGAATAGTTTAGCAAATTCACTGTTTGAAAATGCTCAATTTTAGGGTCCAAAATTGGAGGTCTCCCTCCAAAATTGAGGGAGTTTGCAAGTATGATATGCATTGGAAACCTAGCATTTCAGCATAACTATATTTGCGAAAACTAGTTTCTGAAAAGAAAACCATCCACACCTCATAGCTCTTTTATGGAGGAAACAAATAAAGCTACCTAATTAACATATTGCAGAAGTGTTTCACAAACATGGAGTGATTAGTATTGGAGGTTCCAGAGGTTCGACACCTGTGGAACACTTACAGTATAATCTTTAACTCCTTAGCAATGCCTTCTGACTCAATCATCACCATGAGGTGTCGAACAATTCTGTGACGAAGAAAAAGGAACACCAATAAAATGGCTTGGATACCGTACCACATAAGATCTAAGGATTCAGTCATGATCAGGAACAGTCTTACAATTTCACGATATACAACAAAGAACGCTTGTACAGAATGTATTTGAATGCTTCAAATGTAATCATCGTAAACATTGTCCCAAATTATTTCAGCTTTTCATACTTTGAAATCTTAGGTCACTTAATAATGTACATGTAAACTAACTCCAGCATTACATTTATGTATTTACAGGTACAGGTGTTACCCAAGGATTTACAGCCCCCGTTGTTGTTCGCCCTGCCAGACCACACCCGGTTCTCCCTCATCGATTTCCCCCTCCATTTACCCCTGGAGCTCCTCGGTGTAGACACCTGCCTTAAAGTCCTGGCCGCCATCATGCTGGAGTACAAGGTTAGAAACACTTCCATTTTCAATTTTACAAATGTGGACGGGCCATGTTTTCAAACTTTACTGGATTTGGTAAATCTGTCATCAATCTTAACCACTTGTTTCGGAGCAGATTTTAATTCAAGATCATACAAATCTCAAGTTTGAAATACATAGAATGGTGTGCTTTAAGGTGTTGGGGTCAAGGTGTCTTATGTGTATGTAGAAATTGAAATCTTTGCCATTGATTGATAAATAACCAGATATTTGTATCGTTTCTGATATTCATTATGCACCTCAGGTAGAGGCGTATGATTAGTACTCAATTACTTGTTTAAGATGATAATTTCTAATATTTTAGGATAAATGTTGATAGCTGATTATACACTTAGTTAACCAGGTAACCAGATGTGTGTCTACCCTTAATAGCTGATTATACCCTTAATTAACCAGGTAACCAGATGTGTCTCTAACCTTAATAGCTGATTACACATTTAATTAACCAGGTAACCAGATGTATGTCTACCCTTAATATCTGATTATACACTTAATTAACCAAGTAATCAGATGTGTGTCTATCCTTAATAGCTGATTATACACTTAGTTAACCAGGTACCCAGATGTGTGTCTACCCTTAATTGCTGATTATACACTTAATTAACCACGTAACCAGATGTGTGTCTAACCTTAATAGCTGATTACACATTTAATTAACCAGGTAACCAGATGTGCGTCTACCCTTAATAGCTGATTATCCACTTAATTAACCAGGTAACCAGAGGTGTGTCTAACCTTAATAGCTGATTATACACTTAATTCACCAGGTAACCAGATGTGTGTCTACCCATAATAGCTGATTATACACTTAATTAACCAGGTAACCAGATGTGTGTCTAACCTTAATAGCTGATTACACACTTAATTAACCAGGTAACCAGATGTATGTCTACCCTTAATAGCTGATTATACACTTAATTAACCAGGTAACCAGACGTGTGTCTACCCTTAATAGCTGATTATACACTTAATTAACCAGGTAACCAGATGTGTGTCTACCCTTAATAGCTGATTATACACTTAATTAACCAGGTAACCAGATGTGTGTCTACCCTTAATAGCTGATTATACACTTAATTAACCAGGTAACCAGATGTGTGTCTACCCTTAATAGCTGATTATACACTTAATTAACCAAGTAACCAGATGTGTGTCTACCCTTAATAGCTGATTATACACTTAATTAACCAAGTAATCAGATGTGTGTCTATCCTTAATAGCTGATTATACACTTAGTTAACCAGGTAACCAGATGTATGTCTACCCTTAATAGCTGATTATACACTTAGTTAACCAGGTAACCAGATGTGTGTCTACCCTTTAAACAGACATTTCAGGCGACTCTTGTTTATCTTACTATACTTACCTGAGTTCTTGGTTATAGACATCACTAGGATATTATTAGGTATAAATTGCTGAAAAAGCAATATGTTCCTACACAGTGATTAAATACAGAATACATTAGTTCTTCACCTTTATATGTTCCTACACGGTGATTAAATACAGAATACATTAGTTCTTCACCTTTTTATGTTCTGATGTTTATCATAAGTCAGTTCTATTACAAGGACATCATGCTTTATAGTGCCTGTCAATACATTTAACACATTCTTCTGACTGTACATCTTGTGTTTACCTTGTTTGGTCCATGTACATGTATAATCAGATTTCAACATTCATTTGAATGCATCACTTTTTGATAATATTGACAGTGATATTTTAAGGATGAGGTTCTGTCTGGAAGCTCGCCCAGTTCTTCTGATGTTTAAATCTAGTCATGTTACCTTGTTTTCTTAAGCAAAGCTGATGGGATTCACTTTTAGTTTTTGGGGTCAAGATCACCTGTGTTTTACTAATAATCACAGTGCTCCAGTTCTATGCCTCACCCACTTGTCACTGCCCGTCCCCACCATCTCCACATTTGTGGTACATTGTGATGAGCGTGCCTAACTTGTATTGTGTATTTATGGTCCTCCCTTAAATAATTACTTGCAATATGTTAAATACCATGTTTTGTCTGATTTTCTAAGGTACGAATATCCTTTTCCCCGCTAATTCATAGTTTTCCCAACTATTAATGTCTGTTGACGCCCTGCCCCTTTTCCCCCCTTGGAAATGTCTATTGATGCCCCGCCCATTTTTCAAACAATGCATTTTGATGACAGGCTGCCCACTTTTTCACCACTTGTATCCTTGTGTTGATGCCCAAATCCATTCTTCTAACTCTAAATGCATTTTGATACCCTGCCCATTTTTTCACCACTTCATTTGTATTCATTTGTTGATGCCCCGCCCCCTTTTCCCCTCTTGTAATGTCTATTGATGCCCCGTCCCCTTTTTGCCCAACACAATGTTGTTGATGCCCTGCCCACCTTTTCCCAATTGTAATGTCTATTGATGCCCCTTCCCCCTTTACCCTACTTGAGACTTATGTTAATGCCATGTTTTACCTTGTAATGTCTGTTGATGTCCCATTCCCCTTTACCCTACTTGAGACTTATGTTATTGCCATGATTTACCTTGTAATGTCTATTGATGCCCCTTCCCCCTTTACCCTACTTGAGACTATGCTAATGCCATGTTCTACCTTGTAATGTCTATTGATGCCCCGTCCCCTTTACCCTACTTGAGACTATGTTAATGCCATGTTTTACCTTGTAATGTCTATTGATGCCCCGTCCCCCTTTACCCTTCTTGAGACTATGTTAATGCCATGTTTTACCTTGTAATGTCTGTTGATGTCCCATTCCCCTTTACCCTACTTGAGACTTATGTTATTGCCATGATTTACCTTGTAGTGTCTATTGATGCCCCTTCCCCCTTTACCCTACTTGAGACTATGCTACTGCCATGTTCTACCTTGTAATGTCTATTGATGCCCCGTCCCCTTTACCCCACTTTAGACTTTGTTAATGCCATGTTTTACCTTGTAATGTCTGTTGATGTCCCATTCCCCTTTCCCCTACTTGAGACTTATGTTATTGCCATGATTTACCTTGTAATGTCTATTGATGCACCTTCCCCCTTTACCCTACTTGAGACTATGCTAATGCCATGTTCTACCCTGTAATGTCTATTGATGCCCCGTCCCCTTTACCCCACTTTAGACTTTGTTAATGCCATGTTTTACCTTGTAATGTCTGTTGATGTCCCATTCCCCTTTCCCCTACTTGAGACTTATGTTATTGCCATGATTTACCTTGTAATGTCTATTGATGCACCTTCCCCCTTTACCCTACTTGAGACTATGCTAATGCCATGTTCTACCCTGTAATGTCTATTGATGCCCCGTCCCCTTTACCCTACTTGTGACTTATGTTAATGCCATGTTTTACCTTGTAATGTCTGTTGATGCCCCTTCCCCCTTTACCCTACTTGAGACTATGCTAATGCCATGTTCTACCTTGTAATGTCTATTGATGCCCCCTCCCCTTTACCCTACTTGAGACTATGTTAATGCCATGTTTTACCTTATAATGTCTATTGATGCCCCTTCCCCCTTTACCCTACTTGAGACTTATGTTAATGACATGATTTACCTTGTAATGTCTATTGATGCCCCGTCCCCCTTTTCCCTTCTTGAGACTATGTTAATGCCATGTTTTACCTTGTAATGTCTATTGATGCCCCGTCCCCCTTTTCCCTTCTTGAGACTATGTTAATGCCATGTTTTACCTTGTAATGTCTGTTGTTGCCCCTTCCCCCTTTACCCTACTTGAGACTTATGTTAATGCCATATTTTACCTTGTAATGTCTATTGATGCCCTGTCCCCTTTACCCTACTTGAGACTTATGTTAATGCCATGTTGTACCTTGTAATGTTTATTGATGCCCCGTCCCCCTTTACCCTACTTGAGACTTATGTTAATGCCATGATTTACCTTGTAATGTCTATTGATGCCCCGTCCCCTTTACCCTACTTGAGACTTATGTTAATGCCATGTTTTACCTTGTAATGTCTATTGATGCCCCGTCCCCCTTTACCCTACATGAGACTTATGTTAATGCCATGTTTTACCTGGTGTAGGTGGTGATGCAGTCCCGGGACTACAATGCCCTGTCTATGAGTGTGATGGCCTTTGTGACCATGCTCTACCCCATGGAATACATGTTTCCAGTGATCCCACTTCTACCTACATGTATGTCTTCTGCTGAGCAGGTAAGTTACATACCTGTATGTTCTCTACTGAGCAGGTAAGTCACATACCTGTATGTTTTCTACTGAGCAGGTAAGTCACATACCAGTATGTTCTCTATTGAGCAGGGAGGGTACATATCTGTATGTTCTCTACTGAGCAGGTAAGTCACATACCCGTATGTTCTAAACTGAGTAGTTAAGTCACATACCTGTATGTTCTCTACTGAGCAGGTAAGTTACATACCTGTATGTTCTCTACTGAGCAGGTAAGTCACATACCTGCATGTTCTCTACTGAGTAGTTAAGTCACATACCTGTATGTTCTCTTCTGAGCAGGTAAGTTACATACCTGTATGTTCTCTACTGAGCAGGTAAGTCACATTCCTGGATGTTACTCTACTGAGCAGGTAAGTCACATACCTGTATGTTCTCTAATGAGTAGGTAAGTCACATACCTGTATGTTCTCTACTAAGCAGGTAAGTCACATACCAGTATGTTCTCTATTGAGCAGGGAGGGTACATATCTGTATGTTCTCTACTGAGCAGGTAAGTCACATTCCTGGATGTTACTCTACTGAGCAGGTAAGTCACATACCCGTATGTTCTCTACTGAGCAGTTATAAGTCACATACCTGTATATTCTTTGCTGAGCAGGTAAGTCACATACCTGTATGTTCTAATGCCATGTTTTACCTTGTAATGTCTATTGATGCCCCGTCCCCCTTTACCCTACATGAGACTTATGTTAATGCCATGTTTTACCTGGTGTAGGTGGTGATGCAGTCCCGGGACTACAATGCCCTGTCTATGAGTGTGATGGCCTTTGTGACCATGCTCTACCCCATGGAATACATGTTTCCAGTGATCCCACTTCTACCTACATGTATGTCTTCTGCTGAGCAGGTAAGTTATATACCTGTATGTTCTCTACTGAGCAGGTAAGTCACATTCCTGTATGTTACTCTACTGAGCAGGTAAGTCACATACCTGTATGTTACTCTACAGAGCAGGTAAGTCACATACCTGTATGTTCTCTACTAAGCAGGTAAGTCACATACCAGTATGTTCTCTATTGAGCAGGTAGGTTACATATCTCTATGTTCTCTACTGAGCAGGTAAGTCACATACCAGTATGTTCTCTATTGAGCAGGTAGGTTACATATCTGTATGTTCTCTACTGAGCAGGTAAGTCACATACCTGTATGTTACTCTACTGAGCAGGTAAGTCACATACCTGTATGTTCTCTACTGAGCAGTTATAAGTCACATACCTGTATATTCTTTGCTGAGCAGGTAAGTCACATACCTGTATGTCCTCTGCTGAATAGGTAAGTCACATACCTGTATGTTCTCTACTGAGTAGTTAAGTCACATACCTGTATGTCCTCTGCTGAGTAGGTAAGTCACATACCTGTATGTCCTCTGCTGAGTAGGTAAATCACATACCTTTATGTCCTCTGCTGAATAGGTAAGTCACATACCTGTATGTCCTCTGATGACAGAAAGGACAAAGCATTGGTATGTTTGTACGATAATGAAAGACAAACATTTTAGTTTGGTTTTTAGGTCACCTGAGACAAAGTCTCAAGTGACCTATTGCGATCGCCTTTTGTCCGTCGTCGTCCGTCGTCCATCGTGCGTCCGTAAACAATTTACATTTTCGACTTCTTCTCCAAAATCCCTGAACCAATTTCAATGAAATTTTGAGGGACCTTCCATGGACAAAGGTCAACAAAAATTGTTGCCAGTTTAGTCCTAAGCACCCAGGGGCCTGAGGGGCGGGGCCAAAAAGGGTTGAATTGACTGAAATTTCAAAAATCTTCTTCTCCAAAACCCCTGAACCAATTTCAATGAAATTTTGCAGGGACCTTCCATGGACAATGGTCAACAAAAATTGTTGCCAGTTTAGTCCTAAGCCCCCAGGGGCCTGAGGGGCGGGACCAAAAAGGGTCAAATTGACTAAAATTTCAATAATCTTCTTCTCAAGACCAAGATATGGTAGAATCAAATACTCTTCATAGATGGAAGGGTCTTAAGGTTTATGACCCTAGGGTCTCACGTTTACCCCCTGGGGAAGGGGGGGGGCAAAATTTATTATGGTTTATAATGGCAAAAGATACTTTGAATATTACATGTTGATAACTTGATTGGAATTATAACCTTGAATTGACAGTTTGATACTTTGAAAATTTTGAGCCAGCCCTACCCCCAAGGGCTGTAGGGTGGGGCTCAAAGGAGTCAGTGTGCTAAAATTTCTTCATTTTCCTTGTTAAGAATCAGAGGTGCTAGTTTCAAATGCTTTTTAGTCTGATTCTGTATGCTCGATATTGAATAAGGTGGTTTTATTGTTTTTTGTCACTTTGAATAATATTTCTGTTCATGTTAAAAACAAAATCAACTCTCTGTATAAATATATCAGGTGACCGTTAAGGCCCATGGGCCTCTTGTTATTGATTGAGATCCAAAACTTATGGCCATCGTTGGTTGGATAAAGACATTATGCATCTATTTATAAGGTTTTAAGAATTGATGTGAGGCAATCATTATAAAACCCACATAATTGCAAGCTTAATTTCCTTTCTGTATTGTTGTGTGTCTGCTGCTGATTGTCAACAGAACAATCAATATTTGGTGGGGAGTGATTTGAGTGGATGTGATGTACGCTTGTAGTACACCCACTACAGGGAGAAGCTGTATCTAACTTCCTGTCCTGAAGGAGAGACATATGTTACTTGTCTCAAAAAACACATCTCCAGTGAAAATCTTATTTGATGAAATTGACATAGTTTTGTTGCAAGTTTAAAAGAGTTGATTGAAGTGAAACCAGTGTTAAACCTTGTTTTAATCTGCTGTATGTGGGAATATGTATTAATGATAAGCATGTTTGGTGTTAGATTTAGTGTTGATATTCCTGTAAACTTTGATCAAAAAGCCTGAAGTTTGTGTTTGATACAAACCCTGGAGCGTGTCAGAATCAATGACTATACCTACAAATGTTATATCTCCAATTCGTGACATGGTTGTTATTTTAAAAAACACGAAAGTTAAAATATTTCTGATTTTATCATGTAAGTGCAAATGATCATACGTTTCCTGATATTTTTTCTTCAAATACTGTTCTGAATACTAATCAGGTTATGCTGGTTAATAATTTTAAAAATTGTGATAATTTTAATGTGGGTGGACGTGTGGTGCATCTGATAGCACACTCGGTCTTCACCAAAATAGCCGAAGTTTTATTCTCCATTTTGACGTGGTGTGTGTTGGCCCGGAGTCAGCACTGTCCGACTATGTGGGTTATCCACTTGGCAGGTTATCTGGATTCCTCCCACGTTTAGACCATCCCGGACCAATGAGAGTGATTAATAGAAGTTGATTAATGATAAAGCAAATTGTTGTATACTAAATAAAGTTTATATGTAATTTTCAGAACACCACAAAATAGTCAGATAGTAAGGTTTTATAGTGTCTCCAGAGATGGAGGATAAAAAAAAACATTTGTCCTCAGGTAATCATTTTGTGTAGATATAGCATGCACTAGGTTTTGTTGTATATTCACAGCAAAAAAGTGCATCGCCCTCTAATTATTGATATTAATGTCAAACCATGGTACTAGAAAATATAAAAAAAACAATGGAAAATAGCTGATATTTATATAATATATATTTATAATATATTAAAGATCCCATCATCATTAAAAGTAATGAACTGATTTGATTCTTCACAGTTGCTGCTGGCCCCCACACCCTATATCATTGGAGTTCCTGCCAGTTTCCTACCCTACAAGAATGGTTTTAAGGTACCTGACGATGTATGGCTGGTAGACCTCGACTCCAATAAGGTATGTACTCTTTTAAATTTGCAGCTTAACTGAACCTCTTGAATTCTTGACTATCCAATTAGAAGTTTTATGTTTCATTTCTTGTAGAGGCTAGTCAGATACAGTTAATCTTTATAGACATTTGAGGTTAGCATATTAGAATTGATCTCTGTAAAAATTGGGGTTTAGCATAAGTTAAGCTATACATATATATAAGCACTATTATGAGAAGTTCTTTTTACACAACCAATAAGATTTTCTATGTGATGTTTCGATGACTTATCAGACAAACGACCAGTGAAATGTATGCACACAACCGTGTAAAATGTGTACGAGTTGTCCACAAAATCGAAAGGAGGCAGTGGGAGTCCCAGATAAATAGATCGGCAATCACAGACCGTACCACACAGAAAAATCATGTGATTGACTTCGATAACTACAAAGTTTTGTACAGAGAGAGCAATCTGTTCCAGCGGCAGATAAAGGAAGTCATCTGGATACACCGCAGTGGGCCAGTTCTAAATCGAGATGAGGGGGCTCAAAGACTCTCGCACATCTATGACCAAGTATTAAACAAAGCGTAGCCTAATCGAGTCATTTCGGTACATATATAACAACTATTGTACATACGCTTACAGCGTAGCTGAATTGACTCTTGTTTTATCTCTGTAAATATTAGAGGTTAGCATAAGGTGATATCCTAGAACTTAAGGAGTTATCATTAAGTTAATCTCCCTAAATAAATGTTTAGCATAAGTTGATCTCTGTAAATATTAGGGGTTAACATAAGGTAATCTCTGTAGTGATTAGGGATTAGTTATCTCTGTAAAGTTTAGGGGTCATTGGTTTCTGTAGAGATTAGGGATTAGTTATCTCTATAAAGTTTAGGGGCTATTGGTTTCTGTAGAGATTAGGGATAAGTCATCTCTATAAAGTTTAGGGGTTATTGGTTTCTGTAGAGATTAGGGATTAGTTATCTCTATAAAGTTTAGGGGTCATTGGTTTCTGTATAGATCAGGGATTAGTTATCTCTCTAAAGTTTAGGGGTCATTGGTTTCTGTATAGATCAGGGATTAGTTATGTCTATAAAGTTTAGGGGTTATTTGTTTCTGTAGAGATTATGGATTAGTTATCTTTATAAAGTTTAGGTGTTATTGGTTTCTGTAGAGAGTAGGGATTAGTTATCTCTATAAAGTTTAGGGGTTATTGGTTTCTGTAGAGATTAGGGATTAGTTATCTCTATATTTTTTAGGGGCTATTGGTTACTGTAGAGATTAGGGATTAGTTATCTCTATAAAGTTTAGGGGTTATTGGTTTCTGTAGAGAGTTACCTCTATAAAGTTTAGGGGCTGTTGGTTTCTGTAGAGATTCGGGGTGAGCGGGGTTGATGTTATAAATACAGACTATGGTCTAGCCCACACTCTCAAGGGACTAACTGGCACTTCCCTTTCAGTTAAACAATAGAAAAAAAAACCATGACGATGTCTGATAGAAACTAAGACGCCAAGATTGATAACAGGCCGGCTTTATAGCACTCCAGGGTTACATAATGATGAATATATGCCATTACTTGTGTGCATTTGGTGTAGAATATGAGGGAGTTATATGTAGAATATAAATTAGAAAGTGTTTTCTCTTGTGGAATATCAATGTGTATGCTATGTGGTTAAATTGAGTTATACACTAGTCTTACTGTAGGTGTATGTTCACTAGGGTCAGCAGAACTGGTTTGATATAGATCTACAGCTGTCTTTATACTGTGTTGGAGACAAATAGCTATAGGCTGCCTACCTGTCCATGTTAAATAAATGTGATGTGGCTGTTTTGCATACTTTGTTATCGAGGTCATTTAGAGAACATATCAATCTATCTAGTGAAGTCTGCAATACTAATCAAACCATCCTGCTATCATATGTCCCTGTCTAGTGGATCAACATGTACGCATTATAAATTAATTACACACTCAAATTGAATGGAAACATATGATTGCCATGTTTAAGTTTTTACCTAAGTGTTAGAATTATAAAACTCTATACATGGCTCACATTGAGGAACATTTCTGTGTTCTTGTCCCTGACAACAAATGTTGTGTCACCAAATTTTCCATACATTTAACATTGTCCACATTGACAACTAAATATTTGTTTGGTAAATCACAACCTCAAATTTGTGATGTCACGAAAATTGATTTCCAAACAAATTTATGATACAAAATGTTTACAAAAAGTCACCGCGTTTTGCGACATAGCGATCATTAATTTTAGCAAAATGCTCTATAATTCCCTTTTAATTGATTCTCAAAAAGGAAAATTTCACATAAGGCTGCATATCTAATGATCTATCAAATGCCTGGATATCATGTGTCATTAGTAAGTTTCCATTAATCTAAACACATGTACTGATGTGTCAGTCAGGAGTGTATATCTAAACACATGTACTGATGTGTCAGTCAGGAGTGGATTTCCATTATATCTAAACACATGTACTGATGTGTCAGTCAGGAGTGTATATCTAAACACATGTACTGATGTGTCAGTCAGGAGTGGATTTCCATTATATCTAAACACATGTACTGATGTGTCAGTCAGGAGTGTATATCTAAACACATGTACTGATGTGTCAGTCAGGAGTGGATTTCCATTATATCTAAACACATGTACTGATGTGTCAGTCAGGAGTGTATATCTAAACACATGTACTGATGTGTCAGTCAGGAGTGGATTTCCATTATATCTAAACACATGTACTGATGTGTCAGTCAGGAGTGTATATCTAAACACATGTACTGATGTGTCAGTCAGGAGTGGATTTCCATTATATCTAAACACATGTACTGATGTGTCAGTCAGGAGTGTATATCTAAACACATGTACTCATGTGTCAGTCAGGAGTGGATTTCCATTATATCTAAACACATGTACTGATGTGTCAGTCAGGAGTGTATATCTAAACACATGTACTCATGTGTCAGTCAGGAGTGGATTTCCATTATATCTAAACACATGTACTGATGTGTCAGTCAGGAGTGTATATCTAAACACATGTACTCATGTGTCAGTCAGGAGTGGATTTCCATTATATCTAAACACATGTACTGATGTGTCAGTCAGGAGTGGATTTCCATTATATCTAAACACATGTACTCATGTGTCAGACAGGAGTGGATTTCCATTATATCTAAACACATGTACTCATGTGTCAGACAGGAGTGGATTTCCATTATATCTAAACACATGTACTCATGTGTCAGACAGGAGTGGATTTCCATTATATCTAAACACATGTACTCATGTGTCAGACAGGAGTGGATTTCCATTATATCTAAACACATGTACTCATGTGTCAGACAGGAGTGGATTTCCATTATATCTAAACACATGTACTCATGTGTCAGACAGGAGTGGATTTCCATTATATCTAAACACATGTACTCATGTGTCAGACAGGAGTGGATTTCCATTATATCTAAACACATGTACTCATGTGTCAGACAGGAGTGGATTTCCATTATATCTAAACACATGTACTCATGTGTCAGACAGGAGTGGATTTCCATTATATCTAAACACATGTACTCATGTGTCAGACAGGAGTGGATTTCCATTATATCTAAACACATGTACTCATGTGTCAGACAGGAGTGGATTTCCATTATATCTAAACACATGTACTCATGTGTCAGACAGGAGTGGATTTCCATTATATCTAAACACATGTACTCATGTGTCAGACAGGAGTGGATTTCCATTATATCTAAACACATGTACTCATGTGTCAGACAGGAGTGGATTTCCATTATATCTAAACACATGTACTCATGTGTCAGACAGGAGTGGATTTCCATTATATCTAAACACATGTACTCATGTGTCAGACAGGAGTGGATTTCCATTATATCTAAACACATGTACTCATGTGTCAGACAGGAGTGGATTTCCATTATATCTAAACACATGTACTCATGTGTCAGACAGGAGTGGATTTCCATTATATCTAAACACATGTACTCATGTGTCAGACAGGAGTGGATTTCCATTATATCTAAACACATGTACTCATGTGTCAGACAGGAGTGGATTTCCATTATATCTAAACACATGTACTCATGTGTCAGACAGGAGTGGATTTCCATTATATCTAAACACATGTACTCATGTGTCAGACAGGAGTGGATTTCCATTATATCTAAACACATGTACTCATGTGTCAGACAGGAGTGGATTTCCATTATATCTAAACACATGTACTCATGTGTCAGACAGGAGTGGATTTCCATTATATCTAAACACATGTACTCATGTGTCAGACAGGAGTGGATTTCCATTATATCTAAACACATGTACTCATGTGTCAGACAGGAGTGGATTTCCATTATATCTAAACACATGTACTCATGTGTCAGACAGGAGTGGATTTCCATTATATCTAAACACATGTACTCATGTGTCAGACAGGAGTGGATTTCCATTATATCTAAACACATGTACTCATGTGTCAGACAGGAGTGGATTTCCATTATATCTAAACACATGTACTCATGTGTCAGACAGGAGTGGATTTCCATTATATCTAAACACATGTACTCATGTGTCAGACAGGAGTGGATTTCCATTATATCTAAACACATGTACTCATGTGTCAGACAGGAGTGGATTTCCATTATATCTAAACACATGTACTCATGTGTCAGACAGGAGTGGATTTCCATTATATCTAAACACATGTACTCATGTGTCAGACAGGAGTGGATTTCCATTATATCTAAACACATGTACTCATGTGTCAGACAGGAGTGGATTTCCATTATATCTAAACACATGTACTCATGTGTCAGACAGGAGTGGATTTCCATTATATCTAAACACATGTACTCATGTGTCAGACAGGAGTGGATTTCCATTATATCTAAACACATGTACTCATGTGTCAGACAGGAGTGGATTTCCATTATATCTAAACACATGTACTCATGTGTCAGACAGGAGTGGATTTCCATTATATCTAAACACATGTACTCATGT